ACAGGGTCTCTAATGGGCAAAACCTATTCAGCCGGAAAAAAAGGCGTCGCGTACATTTATTGGCGACGGACAAAAAATCAGGGATAATGTCGACAGGGACTTAGAAAAGCTGATACGCTTCAGTAATAAAGTATTAATTTGAAGAAAAAAAATTCGCTTCAAGCCAACCAGATGTGCCAGTCTGATGAAGGCTAAGTCGGTAATTCTTGATAGTGGCAAGTTATTGGTTAAGACAATAACTAATGTCTTCAAGAGTATTTTTATTTTTAGTTCATTTTTCTAAAGATAGGATTTTATGAGTCTCTCGGATTCGCCCCAGAAAAGAGCGACAATGAAACACTAAATAAAATCCCTTCGGCGGAAACAGTACTGAGAGGATTAAATATCGGCAATGTCTCAGCCTCACAATCCCTCAGAGTATTGTTGTTTTCACGAGTATGAATTAGTCCAACTGAAATCGTTTCGGCACGGTCCCGTATACTAGTCATTTTACGGCTGCGGTGCATCTATGCACTCACATTTAGTATATGACATACATATACAACTCCCAGACGAATGCGCTATACATCAAGATCGCTTTTGTGCTTACGAAAATTCATATATACCCATACGCTATTGCGCATAAGAGGCAGTACATCGAGTCGTTCAATTATCGACTATTGATATAGTATTTATTAGAGAAGATGCTGGTCAGCAATGATCAGAATACCTAGTCAGGCTCGGAATGGACCCTCTTAGAATAACTAAACGAGTAGGTAAATTCTATATATCGTGTAAATATCGATATAAATAGACAAAATGCTTGTGCAACACAGTATATCCCGCTCCCTGCACATTTACAGCAATCTCGACCTATTCAAAACATCAAGGGTTCTTCTTCCTTAAATATGTGCATGGAAAATATGTTTAGATCATCGCGACCCGACTGCATATATACGTTTGTCACTAAGAATTGGAAGTATGTTTGTACATTTCGATATCCTTCGCTATATTATAGTCTCTATGCGTCATGTATTGGGGTATCGCCCCTTATCCTCTCACCGTCGTGCTTTGATAAATGCATAGAACCATTCCTACGAGGATATGCTAGACAATGCTTGCTATACATGTATTGAATTGAGTACTTTCGAGAGCTTGATATTCCATTGCAGCCTTAAGGCTTCAGAAGGACTGGAAGCTGGGGGCTGAGGAGTTATGTGCGGTGTCGAAGACTCGAGAGTCCGAGACTGGCTGAAACTATCTACAAAAAATATACCCGACCGACCGATCGACGACCGTTCATAAATATGTTAATTCAAAAGAATACATCACGATTTACGATAAAATTTTGTTTGTACGCAATATGAACCAGTTGATATTTATTAAAAATAGGTGCCGATTTCCAGGGCATGTAAACGTTAAACTGTTTGTAAAGTGAAATAAATAACGGTTAACTTTTTTTATGCTAAATATATTAAAATACATTTTTTTTAATACGACTATAAACGAGGCATGCTATTTAAAAAAAAAGGAAAGTAATGGTACATCAGATATGATCTGTTGCACTTTTACTAAATATCACCTTATAAAGCAACTTTATAGTTTGCTCTACCCAATAGAATCACAGATAGAGAATAACTCAAATTGGTGGTGGCAAGCTCCCACTCCCTCAATCGATCAATGGCTACCCACAGCCCACAGCCCACAGGCCAAGTCCCACACTGCCCTACACCAAAAGAAGGGGACAGTGGTTTTATACTATTTAACTGCTGTAAATATTTGGATATATTTATTTATTTATTACTATTTAGGGTTTAGTACTCTATTCTCCGTTCTGTTTTGTCTTTATTTATTAAAAAAAACCCCGGAATAGGTGACGAAACCAAAACAAAAGTCATAAAATTAGGATAGGTTACTACAAGCTCACGGTCCGACGCACTTACGCCATCGCGGTCACCTGAGCGCGATAGAAATAGCGAAGCGGAAGACGCGCAAGCAACACACAGCTGGAAGGCCAGGGAACAAAAGGTCAGAGACCAGCGGGTGCGTGAACAGGTGCGTGCCGAGAGTGCGGCGTCGGGGGTTATGGGGGTTATCGATGTGAGGGATCGCGTCAGCATTCCGTCAAAGGAGGATGGCAAGGGAATCGTAAAGTACCTGGCAAAGGGCGTGTATGCAGTACGCCGCACGGGTGTGTTTCGTATATGTATGTGCGTGGATATGTATATGTACGTATTGAGATGTGCCTTTATCTAAATGCGTATCTATATCTACCAGACAATTAGTTAGTCGCGTCAATGTGCACCTGGGCCTGTTATGTATGCACTCACACCTAGACAATTGTATTCCTAAAATCGGTCACTTGCATACGATTATACGCACATTGTAGTATCAGGCAAACTGATATTTCCTGAACTAAGCAAATGTCAAGTTTCAAAAAAAAAGGAAATGCAGTATAGTTTCTTATTTAATATATTTATAATATTGGACGTAAGTGTCCATAATCCAATCATTCAGAGAGCTAGAACATTGAAGTGTTTTGCATAATACGAAAACGGGAAATAAGTCTCCATACTTAATACAGTCATTCTGTAATGACTCAATCTGCATCAATCCCAAAAAAAAGCAAGCAGCGTACGGGCTCTGGAAGCACCCCAGGCCATGGTTGCCAATGACCCCGGCACGAGTGAACAACCGGAAAGTAACCATAAGATGATGCCTCATCTTATCAATCGCCTCTTGCACCGGTTCAAAAGCTACTTGGCGCTAGAGGCTGGAGGTGCAATGTCACACACCGTGGAAGTGTTTGATTTGGAGCTAGATGTGAAGAATGGTCAGGATGAAAGGCAAGTTGCTGAACGCTTGGTGGCTAAGTTGAATAGACATGGAGATTGACGTTTACGTCCATTAAAAATTTAAAAAGGGGTCCTGGAATTGCCGAATTGGGCTTGTCAAATGGCAAATGCCTTTTTTGGCATGTCATTTTTTTTTAAAACTGTATTGCACAGTTTTGGATTTCCAGAATGTGGCACTAATCACTATGGCACGGCAGATCTCTTTTTGTTTCAAGAAATAGGTTCTTTCTCGGAAGAAATGCTCTTGCGCGGGAGAGCCCTTATTCTTTTTCTAAACAACTGTAAATATATATAAATAATAAGTTTTATCTATCATAATTGTTGTTTTGTTGTTTTTTTTTTTTAAACAAATTGTTCTACATAGACTATGTACTGTACTATATTTATAGAGTATAGATACTATTATATTTTGTTTTTAAAACAAAAACAGAAGAAGAAGATTAAAAGAAGTAAAATAAATAAATATAAAATGAAAACTTCCTTCTATTTTTAGAAACGATCATGATTTATAGGAAATAAATAAAAGTCTGTGTTCCGACTTACGACTCGAGTCTTTACGACAGAGGGACGAAACGGATAATATAAGTTTCTGAAATTTTAGATATGAACCTAATGAAGCATAAAAAAAGGTAGGATAAAGAACCTATAATTTTGGGTAAGAGTCTTGCTTTTTCTAATAATAATTTTTCTTCAATTCCATCCTTTTTGAAATTCACTATGTATTTTTAAATACAACATATTCCTTTAATATTTCCAGAACTTATAAACCGTTTATATCTCTTCTATAGCCGTTAATCTAACGTTTTACAAAATAAGGTCTGGGTTTGCGGACAAAATAGCGTGACATTTGTTGGAAGTAATAGTTTGAAAGGGACTTCTAAATAGCTAAATATTTATCGCTTTCAGTGATAAATATTTATTTTAGTATTTATGTATTGTCACATAGATACAGTAACTATTTGCTATGTAAATACATATTTGCAACCTGGCGCCCATACTTTGAAAAAAAGACAAAAACCAAAAAAAAACCCCACAAAAAAAATAGAATGTATATCAAAACTATGATACTCCAAAGTCCAATAATCTTCATCTTTAAAAGTCTATAAAGAAAAAGTAGATCTCAAATCTTGGTCGATGTTGCATTCATTACTTTAATGGGGAAAATTAAAAGCCACTGTTCTTCTATTACAAAATAAATTCATCATCTTCGTTCATACTCATCTAATTATTTATTTATAAAATCATCTTCGGAATGTGTTCTTACAACAAATTATAAATTTTAGTCAGGAGTCAGGACTTCAAAAAGACGACTCAAACAGTGCAACAGCTCTTGTCCGTCAACCCACGTCCCCGTCTCCCCGATGCTATTTATGAACAATCGTACAATTGCCCATTTTTAAAAAAAGCCAGAATGTGAACAGCTAAATAAAAATACGGTGTACCAGCGTAACCAGCCTCTGACCCTACATAGACTTGCCATGACAATAAGTGAAGGAATGGCTGGTTGCAGTTAGCTACTCAAGAAACAAATAGAAAGGCGACTAGATTTTCAGGTACGATAAATAATATACTCCAAATATTTTATCTCGTGGCACATGCTGCGTAGCGAAATCACAGGTTGTGTTTTAGGGTTTTTATCGGTTCGATTGTTCGATCCATTGCCCATCGCTTCCATTCGAAGCGTTGTATCACCAAAGTAGATCCGATATCCAACTGCGGTGTCTATCCCAGGTCTGATGGCTAATTCTAAATTGCCGATCTGTCTTTGCTCATCCCTATTGTATGGGTCGGCACCATGTGTGTAGAAGGGTATAAGGCAGCTCGTTTGCTCTGGGGTTGCTGGTTGTCCATAACTGTCCCTTGTCTCACCCACGCCCACGGAATCGCTCATTTTGACCAAGGGCCGATACCCATCAATGCACATAACGCCGTATCCTCTTGAAAGAATTCTCGATTGTATAGTCTCGTTCCCCAGTATCTTATCAATACCGAATATCACGGATCCTCGCGCAATATCAATTGATGGTTGACCCGACTCTATGATGCCTCTCATTCTACGATTCCTCGAGGTGACTGGTTCGAACTGTTCTTTCACTGCCGCAGCCAGAAAGCGAGAACGGGAGAGACCACCGGTGACCACGATCATGCTCACGTCATGTTCATCTAGTGCAGCACGAATTGCGCTGCATACTCCATCGACGGTGTCTTGGAAGAAATGCTGCATCTCGTTGTCATTAAAATGTAAAAAGTTGGACCTAAATAATAGATTTGTGGAGTGACTCCTGTTGTAGTTTGAAAGACCAGACCTGATTTCGGCTTCTCTGTCGTATTGCGTACTCTTATATCGCTCATCGTAGAGTGCATCCAACAACCGGTTTAAATCGACTCTCTGATTTCCATATCTTGCTTTACAAGCCGCAAAATGGTCCATAACAGCAGAAAGTTCATATGCTACCTGCTGAGTCATCCGCGAGAAACCTGCATGCTTGATCACTTCCGTGAGCATTTGACGAAACTTTGCGTCCACCTGCTCTCCGCCGTAGGCAGCGCCCCTTCGTGCATACAAATTGGACCTGGTAATGTTGTCCTATCAGATGTTAAAGAGTTGAAAGACAGTATCATAATATAATATAAAAAGGAATCAGAGTTATGTCAGGGCTGATTGAAAAAATAGACTTACACTTGCAAAGGATCCATTTTCTGGATTTGGATACCAGAGATATCGACCGTTCCGCCACCAACATCCACAAGCATAAACTTTCTCAGGTCATTCCTTCGTATTTGATCCTCAACACTGGATCGTTTTAAATTGCTTATTGCTGCAGCTTCCTATGATTTGATTGACAACACAAGAAGTATGAAGATACAAGATTAAACTGTCGATGATGGCTATACTACACACAAAAAACGGCATGCGGAATGCGTGTACACAGCAAATAGAATTCAAGCACAAAATCTACAAACTATGTTTGAAATTAAAACACATTATTTGATTTACCGGTTCTAATGTGAGTTCAGCCCGAAGCAATCCGGCCTCGTGAGCCCAAGTTTGCATCTTTGCTCTGGCTGTCTCAGGCCAAATAGCCGGAACTGTGACGTACCATCTAATCTGTGCATCCGCGTCTGTAATGTAGTTTGCATTTTCACGGTTGACCTTAGCAATAAGTGATTCTTTAAACAGCTTCAAGCTTTTTCTGATGACGCTGCCCACCTCCATACTATAACCATCCTCAGCTTGTACCACTGTATCAGCTCCAGGCTCTGCGGTGTAAAGGGCCATTTTGAAGCGTCTGAATATATGAAACTCCGGAGGCTCACCACTATTGTTATCATTCTGCCAAGCTGTGATCGCATCTGCACCGAAACTGACGGCTTCCAGGGTTCCCCTCCTGACCAATAAGGCAGTGGGCGTTTTCTCATACACATCACTGACAATCCCTGGGCAACAGCAAATGGGTTCATATGGTGGATTGAAAGTTTCTAGCACGTAGCCACAGCAAGAATTGGACGTGCCCAAATCTATCGCTGCTACAACTTTCATCGTCATGTTTGCTGCTAGAACAATTTGGTTATAATCAACAGTTTATGTTCAACAGAAAGCATCTGTATTCTTCAGTATTAGATTTATAGTATCGAGTGGTTGTAGATCGTGTATATACCAGTTCGTACCGCTGTATCTGTGAAATTGTAATCAATATCTGTGCTGTTTTTGGCATTTCATCTGTGCTGCTTTTCGCTTTATCAGAGGTTCAGGACATCGTTATGTTTATATTTACGGTAACAGACTTTAGATCTAAAAATTAAGTTAGCATTTTCATAAATATTGGGGTTTTTTTTAAAAACAAATGGGAACGGCAACTTAACCAACTTTACAATTTACATATCTATATTTTTGAGTAGATGAGTAGATGAGTACCCAGGCGGCGCCGTGGCTCGTGCGGTCGTGCTGGTTGTGCTCTCGCCGGCTCCGCATCTTAATTGTTATAGACTTTATATTCTCTCTCCAGTCTTCTGACTTCTCACAACTCACAAGTTCGCCATGCTCTCGCGGAGTCGCGGTCTCCTTTTTTTACTTTCTAAAGCTGATAAATCTACTCTATTTATTTAGTTTGTACAATATTAATATATTATGTAGCACTTATTACTTATATATTAAAAAAAACTCTTTATGGACACTTTTTTATTTAAAAATGTATGGTATAATAATCTAAATCGAATGTGTGCTGAATTGATAGTGTGCAATTGAAAATATTTCTTGTTGAACTCCTATTGTATTATGATAAATTTCATTATATTGATGCGTGTTATTTGATGTGTTCGATTGCCAATCACTATGATCGAGTTGAACAGCGAACTGTGTGTGTTCGTGTAAACGAGGTAAGGCGTCAGATGCATGAAATGCATCTGAATGTGCATGTGCATCGACGGGTCTATTCTGTATGTAATCAGGAGGGTGTGTTAAACCCAATACGTTACGCACCATGATAACTATTTGCTAGCTATACTATTGTACTAACGTCTATACTATTATACTAACGTCTATACTAAGTGACTAAGTGATAATCTATGTGTGTGTTAGTGGGTTAGTGTGTTTGTGCTGCAACACTTGCTGTGTGAGAAACACTGGGTCGTTTTGCAAGTTTTCGGTTTCGTTTCCGTCCCAAATTTTCCGCTCTTTCGATTCCGCTAAATTTCAATTGGCTGAATTGCCTCACACTGTGTGCAAAAAAAACAATATGTAGTTCAGCCGTCGAAGAATCGACAGATTCTGTCGATTTAAAAAAAAACAAAAAAAAACAAATTCCTGGTCCAAAAATTTGAAAATCGACAGAATCTGTCGATTCATTGGTACTGGTGATATAAAATACAATAAAAGTAGGAAGTCATCAACAATTCAACACGAATACAAAAAATATAAATAAATAATCTTTAAAAATATAAATATGTGTTATTTAATTATTTATGCAAGAGACTCCGAGAGCGAACTCAGAATGTCACTCTCTTGGAAATGGAAACTAATCCTTTAGGCTTCAAGTCCTCGTATATACTACCTTCTCGCTCCTGACTGGTAGCACTTTATACTTAAAAACACTGACAATGTCGAATCTGAACACCCGTGCAGCTTATGAATTTATGTCAGCCAGTGATTTCAAAACAGAACTGAGATCCTTTTGTGATGAATTTCTAACCGAGTTATCAATCGTGGAAAGTCCGGCGGATGCAGAAAATTTTATTAACGGTTACAAAGCGAAAGTGAAGGAAACACAGCTCAAGCTCAAAAATGCTATAGAGACAGTGAGCCTTTTCTTCCGCAATGATGAACAAGCTGCACTCGATAGCATGGTCAACCTCGCGAAATGCGATTGGCAGCAGCGATTTCCTGCCAGCCAACAGCACACGTTTTTCGATCGATTGTTTAAATTGCAGTGGTGGAACTTCCTAGCAAATTGCTCTAATGACAAGCATTTTATACCCATGGATTGGAATCGCGTGGGAATGACGGAGGTTTATACAAACGATACAGCAGCTATGCAAGCCATAAATGATTCAAACCAGCCAGGCGCATCTTGTTGTATCCTGATCCCGGAACTTAGAAGTTTGCCTCACAACAAAATCGAATCCAAAGCCATAGTTGTTGTGCAACCTGACAAAGTCGAAATCTTTAATAAGAACACACGTGGTTCTGCTGCCATTGCTGGTGACGTGAGGGCAACTGCAAGGGCATGCGATGGTAAAGATAATACAATTATGCATGAACGAAATGACAATCAATGCATTCGGCAACCGCATGGGGCACAAGATACTGGGTCATCTGAAAGCGACAGCGTCAACAATGTCAGGCGTCACAACAGCAATATCGTTCGGCCCCCCAAATTTATCTACCCGAGATCGACTTATACAGTCCCTCGCATTTCAATTCCATCGTCTCCACAGCAGCGCTCAGCTCCACAAAATGTCTACAAGCCAAGCAGTTTTTTGAATTACGACAAAGATGGTCCAGATCGCTCATTTAAAAATCCGGAGTTTCAGATGGCAACAGCGAATGGTTGGAAACATAGTAGTAATAATAATGACCGTCAGAATAAACATCACGGTATGGGCAAGAGCGCGAACGACGAACGTGCAACAAACCAAAACAATAGGAACCAGATGGAAAAACAAGAAGGAATGGATTCAGGGGACGATTCTGTTATGGTAGTCGATGAATTATAATGGTACAGGCTGGATATAACAGATCGTGTGGCAGATATAACTTGACCTTAACACCAAGTTGTGATTAATAAATGTCGATACTTGGTAGAGTGTGTTGACGCATTTCGCTATATATATATATGCTAATACTCAATCGCAGTTGAAGCTATACGGTTGGTGTGGTGATAAGTCAAAAGTTGAATGTAATGAATAAGTGGATGCATTTATAAATGGGATGGACTCATATATCCACGATTAGGCTTGCGCTGCCGATGCTGCTGCCATCGATGCCTCTATGCTTGTGTATGCTTCTTGCTCTTTTTACTTTTCTTGTTCTTTTTGCCGTCACTGCCCTTACGGCACGGGGGCCACCTACATACCAAGCTATTGGCCCCTCCTGAAGGCTGAAAGCCGAAAGGGCTTCAAAAGTTCAACAATCAAAATGTAGCCCGAAAGGCCTAATGATTGTAAATCGACTAAATTATCTAGAGAAGACACCAATACGAGAAAAACCCACTCATGCATCACTGCTTTCAAGTTAGCACTGCAGTTTATGGCTCTATGCACGTTTACAACAAATTGAAGGATTCCAGATGAAAACTGAAAAATACATCGTCGTGAAATTGTAACCAGCTAGCGCGCAATAGATATCAGCATAAGAATCTCACCATCCTACCACAGATATTAGCGATTTAAAAATAAAGACAAATAAGTATGTGTATAAATATCATTTTAATTTATAAATATATATATATATATGTACATATATGTATATATTTATATATATATATATAAATTCAAATTGTATCTATATATAGATACATATATATAAATATATATATATATATATATATAAATATAATTGAAATATATATATATATATATATATATATATATATATATATATATATATTTATATATATAT